CCTTATGGTGCTTCTTTTTTAAGAAATTCATGTGTAAAATTATAACCCACCTGATGTCACTCATATCTTTAGAGGGAAAAATGGGGTGATTAAAGGGTAACTAAGGCCTATCCATAAGACATTCTATAAATCTTTAGATTCTTGAGCCCCAAAGGATAAGTTATCATGGTATAGCATGATAAAGGTATCAACTTTTCAACACCATATGGATCACCCCTTATCTGGCCTTTGGGACACTCAACTTTTCAGCTACCTCATACAGACATGTTCATACACACAGACAAGTGTGCAGAAAGGTTTCTCATCTGACTCCACCAGATTCCACTGGCTCTGCAGTGCAGTCAGAAAATACACATTGAGTCAAATGAGGAAACAGGGTACTGTGGAACAGTGCAGGGACCAGGTGCAAGGCAGGGCCTTACAAGCACACTGATCAGCATTTGTCAGCATCTGTCAGCATGACTGACCCCACTTATTGTATTATTCCTCTATTTTCCCATGTCTATTTCTGTCCAAACCACCTTGATCCCTCCCTTTTCCTTCTTTGGCTCTTCCCCTAACATTACATACTAAGTCTAGTGAAATTCAAAAATGCTGCTTCCTTGCACCCCAATAATAACCCTGTAACACTAGGCCATTCTGCAAAGCCATCTGGAGAGCCACTCTGCTGACTCATGGTGATAAGTTTTCATCCCAGACTCCTGGAACATCTGGGAATGTTTTATTTATTTATTTATAAATGTATTTTTTAATTTAATGTATTTTATTTATTTATTTATTTAACATGTTTTACCATGGTCCACATGTTCCCTATGGTATACCATGGGCCCTGCTACAGAAGACTCCAGTATCACTGCTCTTACTTTCAAAATAAAAACAATACTGAATAAACTTCTGCCCATCAGTTGAACCAAACTACTGAGAGAGGTCTTATGTGAATCTCTTCTGGTCACCTTATGTTACAGTGATTCACAGGGGTGTTGGCCAACTAAATATCCCCAAGGATGCAGCCATCTTTTGGCAATGTGGAACAGGTCTTGGACCACATAAGCCATGTTGTAAAACTCATCCCCC